ATCGACCGCGGATCTCCTGCCCCAAGCGTTCCGCTGCTCTGGGCCGTGCTTCTGAGGCGCTGGGTCTCACCCGATCCGCGGGGGACCTGGAAGACGCCTGTCCTGTAACTGGGTCCGCCTTGCCTGCTGGCGACCGTCCTGCTGTCCTTGACGCGTGGGGTCTCTCCCTCCCAGAGGGTGACCGTCCTTGAGACCTGTAAGGAGAAGACATCCTGGGTAGGCTGGCCATAGAAACCCTGCCTCGTCCCCTCTCGTCCTGGGAACTGTCCCCCATCTCCCCACTAGCCATCCGCCCCCGAGGGTCATGAGCCTGCACAGCAGCCCGCCTCCTCTCTGGGGAACTCTCGCTCGTGGAACTGCCCTCCTGCTGCGACCATCCCCTTGAACCGACAGGGGGCGCCCTATGCCTCCCCCGGGCGTGGTCCACCCCACCGGGGTCCCTGTCAACTACGTCAGCTACCCTATGATGACTGCTTCGTGACTGGTTCTTCCTAGCACCTTGCATGCCCTATGCTCTAGCCCTGCGCGCTGTTCTCTTGGCTGGTGCCAACCTTCTGCTCTGTCCCTCGCTGTCACTCCCTCCCGATCCTTCCCTAACTACCTGCCTCGCCTGCCATCGACCCTTACCCAGTCGTATAGGAGATCCTGGCGAAGCGCTGCTCTCTCGCCCGCTGCCTGGTGACCCTCTGTGGCATCTTGCTGCGCTATACCCTTCTGTACCGCTCCGTGCCTTGGCCGTCCCCTGTCTGCCTCCTGCCCCCCTGCCATCACCAACCAAGCCAACACCGGGGCCCACCCCTGGGGTAACCCGTGGCCCAGCCACTGGAGGGGCATTGGCGTCAGAGGTCGACTCACCCGGACGGTGTATAGCCGCTGTCCCTATTCCTCCAACAGCGCTTCCAGCGTTCCCGTGACCTGCTGCCAAGCCTGCTGTACCGCTCGTCCTTCTTACGCTGGCCTGTGCTTGTCCAGGCCTCTTTCCAAGACTCCTATCACTTGCAGCCGCTTCTCCTTCAATCCCTGCAAAAGAAGACACAAAAACCGAATGTTCGGTAGTTTTTCTGCCTCCCCGTTCGGCAGCTGAACGGCCGGCAGTATGGCTACCTCCCCGTTCAACTCCCGAACGTTCGGCAGTTTTTTCACCTCCCTGGGAACCTCCAGATCCGGATGGCAGAGCATCTTCCAGGCGATCCCTGAGCCACTCGATCCCCCTCTCCTGCACAGCAGCCCGGACTCCTTCCAGCCAATCTTCCATCTTGCTGACCTGCAGAGGAGACAAAGAAAAAAAAGCCACACAAATCCTGCCTCACCAAACAGGTAAGTGTAACTTGGATTACAGTGATCCTTGGTTCTAAAATGGCCACTTCATATACTCCCCTTTAAAACTCCACCCCACCATTTCCAATGACCAATCCCTGACCACTGACCTTTAGATGGCCTGTCTCCTGGCAAGGTCAAGGCCCACTCCCCTTAGCTACGCTGCTCCGTAGGCTACAAAACGGTAAGTATACCATTTATCACTGAAGAGGGTTCTGGCACATGTGAACTCTAACATGCCTGATTTCAGTGGGAGAGTCCTGATTTTCTGGTCCTGTCCAGTTGTCCAGCCTTAGTTTCCAATCAAAGTGCGAGAGCATCAATAGACATGCGATTGCTATTTTTACGGCACTAGGATCCTGCTGGGCCAGTCCTCAGTAGGCCATCCTGCATGGTGGACAGGGGGCCTGGTAAATATTTACACCAGGCTGACCTGCCAGACAGCCCCCCTTTATGGTGGTCCTATCGTTTTGGGCAAGTCAGTTACACAATTGCATCACCGGATCACCCTCTTTACTCCCCTCTGGGATGGTCGATGTGGCAAGGTAAGAGTCACTATTGCCCCTTCAATTAGCTAAAATGGTTATGGTGACATACATTATAGCTGGTATTAAGGAGGTTAAAGGAGACTTTAGGAAATAAAAATTCTCTATCCTGCAGATTGATTCAAAGAACCTGTAATGGTTTTATTAATATGATGACATTTAATTGCTCTATATTTGTATAGGGCCACTATCAACAGATTGGCAACTTTATAAACATACTTACTTCTAATACAGACATATAGGAGACTGACCTTTTTAAGGAGGTCACAATAATTATATAATTGTTGAAATGAGGCAATATGGTTTGAACAACCTTTTATATCCGGTTTATGTTAAATATATCATAAAAGAATGTGTACTTGGTGTTTATGTGTTATTTTTAATATGTCACGAATGGTAGGCAGATATGTAAACCTCTTTAGTTCCAGTGAAGGTTGTGACGCATTGAAAATATTGAAAAAAAAATGCTCATTGTCCCTTATAGAATAATGGAAGTTGAAGAAAATGCATTTTTTTTTTCTAATGGAAAAATTATTTTTGCAACTGCGAGGCGTTCCAGTGATTTATAAATTACAATGATAATTTTATTGAAAAAGGTTACGAAAGAGCAGAATGTTAGAATAATTAGATTTCTATTAAGGAGGAGATAAGGATATATTGTAGTAGTGGTAGAAATTGTTACTCAAGCAACGGAATTTGAACGTATTCATCTTTACGCTTGACATATACACATGCAGATAAATTCGACGTAGACTCATAAAGAGTCCCTGATGTGGAAAACAGCTATAATTTATTTGTAACTGCAGGCTGAAGTAATTGATTGTAGCATTAAAGTACTCCACTTAAAGAGACACTAAACACCAAAACAACTTTAGCTTAACAAAGTGGTTTTGGTGCATGAATCATGCTAATAGAATTATGCTACTCTGCCATTTAGAAGTCACATTACTTTTTGTCTGTATATGCAACATACAAAATCCAGCACACTCACTTGTTCACAAAACAGCAACTTCAAGTCTCACAGAATGTAATAGTTTTATTTAAAAACACCTCACCTAGGCAAAAATACTGGGGGTTTAGTTAAAGTGTCAATGCACCCCATTCTTGGCAGGTTCTACTCTAGCAGCCTAATGTCTGCTCTTATGAGATTAATCCACTTACTTGGGAAATATTTCATCCTGGGACTCCTCAGGGCAAGATTTAAAAGGTCCGTTGAATGAGGCACCTGTGACAGGGAGGGGTGAAAAACTGGGGAGCTGGCCCTTGACTATATATATATATATATATATATATATATACACATATCAGCAAAAGTCATCTTTCTTTAATTCTCTAATTCTTGTTTCCTTCAGCCCAAAAAAGGCCAAATTCAAATCTGTGCCCAGATTTGAAGCCTGGATTTGAAGCATTTGTTCTGGATTCCAGCTCTCTGGATTTTCAGTTATGAAAGACCAATGAGGGAATTCATTGGAGAGCCTGTGTTCAGGGCTTGAGTCCCCCTCCCGATACTTCTGTTTACAGCAGTATAATCAGCAAGCACTAACCCAGTTTGTAACACAAATACCTATTTTTGCTGAATAAAGTTGTTACTTTTCACAATCATTCATATATCTTATCTAATTTATTGTAAAAGGAAAAACAAATCCACCATCATTAATGTCACGTACTACTGCCAAGCTGAAATTGAGGGAAGGTGGAGGAAGGTGTCCTGTTCCCCAATCCACATCTCTTCTTCAGTCATCCGCCACTGCTGCCTCTACCACCACCACCAACACTATTAGTAGTTCCTATACGAACATTGCCCGTTCTACTAGTGAAAGAACTACCGAACAACCAACCACCCAGATGCGGAGTGTGGCACTTGTTAACCTTATTGATCCTTCTTAACACCTCCAAAACCACAAACACCTCAATGTTTTAAGCGGTCGGCTGGGTGGTCGGCGTTTGTATGTACAAACACGTGGCGGCGGCCATCTTGGAATACAAATGCGGCCAGCGGTGTTTGGTCATTGAGTGTTCGGAACTAGAATCGGAAAACTCGAAGGGCGCGAACACTGCTAAGACTTCCATGTCCACAGATGTTCGGTATTATCTACACGAAAGGAACGGCCTTTGGTAGGAACATCTCCCGAACCACCAGGACTATGGGAACGGAGTCACGAACAATTATCTCACTTATAAGTAGTATTTTGGTACTCCCGAAAGAGACCGACCACACAACCTGATTTCATGGAACTATTTTGGTCAGGCGCCTCGTGTGCCCTCGGTCTAAACTATACCCCGGTGGCGTTTGGGTTACATTAGTGGGATCTGAGTGATTTTGATATCCAGGGATATAGGACTTGAAGGGGTAGCTCATCGTAAAATATGTTTTTTGGGATATTTTTATTATGCATGTTCTGGACCTGAGAGGTAATGTAACTATGTATGTGCTGATGTTGCTGTCCTCTCTCAGGTCCAATGAAGAATGCCCCTGGAATGTGTCACCAGAAGCCCCTTGCACAGGGACCTGCATAAAAGGCCAGCCGTGATTTCATTAAAATCAGTCTTACTTTACCCTCAACACAAAGTCCTGTCTTTTGTTGTAGGGAACTGCTATACAACCTATACCTGCTTCTTTACTTGGATGACTACTCGGAATGCTGTAACACACCTCACACTTAGGAGAAGGACGTCTCTGGCAGTGGAAACCCCTGTACTCACCGGGGTGACAGCTACAAGTATGCTTCAAACAGTGCCTCTAGGAACATTCAGTGCCTTGACTACCTTTTTGTATCCTGTTGTCACAGTTTAGTAGATAGAGCCCAATATGCAAAAAACAAACAAAGAATGTTCAGAGCAAGGCACAGGTAAGGATAAGGCAAAGACGAGGTCAAGCAGACAAAAGGTCGGTTCAGGCAGCACAGGATTGTAAGTGTAGGACAAGCCAAAGGGCGGATTTCAAATAGCAGATGGGAACAGGGAACAACTTGACAGGAACAAGGGGCACAGAACACTAATCACTAGTGATGTCCCGAACGGTTCGCCGAACGGTTCGCGAACGGTTCGCCACGAACAGTTCGCCACGAACAGTTCGCCACGAATGGTTCGCCACGGACTCTTCATTGAGTAAACTTTGACCCTGTACCTCACAGTCAGCAGACACATTCCAGCCAATCAGCAGCAGACCCTCCCTTCCAGACCCTCCCACCTCCTGGACAGCTCACTAAGAATGCAGCTTCACAATGAATGTAAAATGGATGCTGTCCAGGAGGTGGGAGAGTCTGGGAGGGAGGGTCTGCTGCTGATTGGCTGGAATGTGTCTGCTGACTGTGAGGTACAGGGTCAAAGTTTACTCAATGATGAGTCCGTGGCGAACCGTTCGTGGCGAACCGTTTGCGAACCGTTTGGCGAACCGTTCGGGACATCACTACTAATCACAGGTATCCAGTATGAGCATGTTGAAAAGGGGAAAAATAGACACACCTTTAGCATCCCACCTGCCTCCTGGGTACTTTCCTTTCAAGAATCCACATGATGCCTTCCCATTTTGTCTGATGATTGTGCAGGATAATTAGGTTGGGCCGAAATGAATAGATTCAGCTCCTGCTTCCTTTTTTGCAGCATTGTTCAGTGTTTGGCACAAGGAGTGATGGAGGTAACTGTCGGGCCAGGCAAGGGCATGACACCTGTTCAATGTTTTTGAAGGGCGATGATCTCTTCTCTTAACTTTATGTCCATAGGACTTCCATTCTTTTGACTTAGCCATATTTCTAACATACCGTCAAACGTGACACGCAACAATCCCCTAGCCAGTTCAGATATTTCAAGAGTTGCATCAGTTGCACCATTCTTGAAACAAAACCTGTTTTGCATATTTGTGCTTTTGTGAGGCATTCTATTCAGGTTGTTAAATAATTTTGAGAGTCGAAGTCATTATAAGTTGCATTTTCAGTTGAATTTGGGGAAGCATTTGTTGTATTGAGCTACTTAATTTGCTTTTGTTTTATGTGTTTGTTGCAAACAGCTGAAAGTTTGTACATTTTGACAATAAACCTGATTTTCAATGGGGGTTGAATAATTTTGATTACAATTGTAGCTGTGATGTGCGTCAAAAGGTTGTTGAGCTTCACAAAATGGGAAGTAGCTATAAGAAAATAGCAAAAACATTGAAAAATTTCTATTTCCACGATCAGGGTATTTATTAAGAAGTTCCAGTCAACTGGAAATGTTATGAATCAACCTGGAAGAAGACTTGTGTCTACATTGTCTCAATGAACTATGAAGAGGATAGTTTGAGTGGCCATAGAAGTTACCAAGGATCACAGCTGGAGAATTACAGAAGTCAGTTGCATCTCTGCAAAACTACAATCCAATGTCACCTACATCACCACAAGTTATTTGGAAGGGTTTTAAGAAAAAAGCTTGTAATCTCTTCCAAAAGCAAATTAAGCATCTTCAGTTTGGAACTTCAAATGCGGTTGGGTGGTTTGGAGCACACAGAGAGCTAAACACATGGAAAAGTGCCTCATGCCCATAATTAAATTTGGTGGTCCTGGAGAACCTGGACTGTTTTAAATATCAACACATGAACACCTGACTGCCTCTGGCAGAAAGCTTAAAATGAGCCATGGAGGCCAACAGCACAACTGACCAGACATGCTCAAGTGGAGCTCTGACTCAGCCTAGTGATATTTATAGATTTTCAACAAACAAAATTAAAATATCGGTTACCAAGCACCACCACCCCCAGACGACTACATAGGGCACAACAATATAAAATTTTGCTGCCCAGAGGGTGCTGGAATGCCTTATATCAGACTCTTATTCAAGAGGCCTCCAAAGATGGCGCCCGAGGCACAGTGGTAGGATGAGGCCTCAGAGAAGTACTATGAGGACAAAAAGTCTATCACCCTCAGAAAATCTGGAGAGATATACAGGGAGTCCGACATTGAGGAAAGCAAGATATAAAGGGAAATACAAAGGGATATAGCAAGAGGTTGTTGCTAGATCTAAGGAAACCATGGAAGGCCGACCTTCAGGAAGTCCAGGATGAAATGGGAACTATCCAGAAAAAACTAGCAGCGATGGAGGAACAAGAATCTGCTAGAGACAGCCAATTGCAGGAGACTAAAAGCCAAGTGGAAGACTTTAACCAGCTGCTACAGAGGCTTACCTGAACTGTCACTGCACTGAAGACTAGACACAGGTGATATTACGTACGCCTGAGAGGTATCCAAGAGAGGGTTGGAAATGAGGAGTTTCACACAAAGGCTAATCACATCACACAAAGGCTAAACACATCAATGTGAGTCAAATGGAGTGCTGATCCCTCACCGGTACTATCGGCATTCTATGTGCGCAAAGCGGCTGCAGTCTCAGCCGGGACCCCCAGAGACACGATAATTGTGACGAAAGATATTGTGCTATTATGGCCCACTCCAGAGCCCAAGACACTGTGCAATTCAAAGGGAGCTCGATAGCACTAATTGGGGACCTCCCGATTGCAGTCTTAGTGAAAAGAAGGAAAATGGCTCTGGTTGCCAAACAGCTATGGTACCACTCCATAAGATACCGTTGGGGGTTGGAGGGCTTCATCATGGTACATAGAAAGGATGAGCTACTGACCCTGTCCTCTGCTGACACCACAGAGACTTTCCTACAGAAATCAAAACTACTAGCTATAACACAGGAGATTGAGGCAACTCATAGAGATGGAATGCAGGCACCCAGGATCCTTAGGGGGGCACAGTCAGAGTCAGACGGCTGGAGTTTAAGATGGCTGGAGTTTAAGATGTAGACTCCTGGACTTTAACAATCAAATGGACATGATGCTACCGCCACAGCCACATGGAGCTGGATGCACCTGCTTCTGATACTTACCTGTTCTAGGCTATACTACACTACATAGTAATAGAATTAACCCCAAAATTCAGGCCATTGTGTGACTCACACAACAGCCTTAACAGTATTGATAGCACAACGCTTTACTTATGCCTATAAACTCCCATTCCAGCATCCCCAATACCACCATAGGTTCTCCTATATGATTTCCTTTTATATATTTATTTTCTCTTATTTTCTGTATTACATTTTGTGAAAAAATGTCTGTCAAACCGAAAACAAAACCCAAAAATGTTTGCCATAGTCAGAATAACTGAATTTTTTTGCACTGTGCAAGTCTATAATCCAGTCAATATTCAGATTGTGCTTGAGAGATTACATTTAGAATTGTACCATTTTGTTTAAAATAATGGCATAAGGCTTTGCTAAGCTTATAAATATTTTATCATGAGGCATGCAACAGAAAAAAAAAACTATTTTAATTAAAATGGTCCTTATTTTTTGAGGGCAAACAATGAATCCACCAAAATGATTTCTAATAAGTACAAATTATACTAAAACCAATGTTGACTTTGTCAGCTCTAAGATAACAGTTAATTGGTACTAGATTTGAAAAAAAAAGTTAAAATAAACCCATTAATCCTATTTTACTTTACATGCATGATGGAGATTTATACTGAGTGAAATCTTATAATGCAACGAGTGATTGGCAGTTTAGGTCATGCAATATATAAATATACGTTTCATGAGGATGTACAAGTTTTTCTGTCCAAAGGGACGTTTTTGTACGTCCTCTCTTCCTTGGAATCTTAACATCTTAACATCAGTTTTGGATTAAAAAAAATACTACCATAGCATTAATTTGTAGCAAGGAATGCATAGTTAGCATATACACATTTGACAGCAATTTTATATACAGATTGCTTTGCAGACAAACTTAAAAATTTAAATTATGTAAATTTACACAATTTTTAATTTGCACTTTTTTGTTCATCCATTATGAAAATATTTGGTAAATTAAATGATGTAGATGGCTTTGGTATTGCTATTTTTCACACAGGGTCTAAAATGTTAGTATTACATACTGTTAGATCATTTATTTCTTTAAATACAGTTAGATCATTTATTACTAAAATAAAGGTATTTAAAACTGCTGTAGTAGGGCTCCCATTTGTCCCACTGCTAATGTAATGCTAACAGTGGTGTGGTAGCGTCCATTTACTCCTTCCCCCTCCCTGACTTTAGGAATGGTATCACCTAGTGAAACTAGGCTCCCATCTGTCCCACTGCTAATGTAATGCTAACAGTGGTGTGGTAGCATCCATTCACTCCTTCCCCCTCCCTGACTTTAGGAATGGTATTACCTAGTAAAACTAGGCTCCCATCTGTCCCACTGCTAATGTAATGCTAACAGTGGTGTGGTAGCATCCATTCACTCCTTCCCCCTCCCTGACTTTAGGTATGGTGTTACCTAGTAAAACTAGGCTCCCATCTGTCCCACTGCTAATGTAATGCTAACAGTGGTGTGGTAGCGTCCATTCTTTCCTTTCCCCTCCCTGACTGTAGCAATTGTATCACCTAGTGAAACTAGGCTCCCATCTGTCCCACTTTCGAGAGGATAGTCCCTATTTTGAGGACCTGTCCTCTGTCCTAATTTTTTTTTAATTTGATTTGTTTTTATTTTTCATTTCGCAGTTATACAATGTGGATACATTTTAACAATAAGGGGTAATAATTAAGTGCCAAGACATGGCTACTCTTGTTACAGCTTTTGGTTTTAACAAAACGTCTATAAGGTACATGTTTTAAACAATGGAACACATTAGCACATGCAGTAAGTCATAAGTAAGACATGAATAAATTTTTGGTTCTCCGTTTGGTACATTGGTAGTAGAGGGAGTGGTATGAGACAATTAATATCAATGATAGTATTAGCAATAACGGGTAACAATTAGTGATGTACCGAACGGTTCGCCGGCGAACGGTTCCTGGCGAACATAGCATGTTCGCGTTCGCCACGGCGGGCGAACATATGCGCGGTTCGACCCGCCCCCTATTCGTCATCATTGAGTAAACTTTGACCCTGTACCTCACAGTCAGCAGACACATTCCAGCCAATTAGCAGCACACCCTCCCTAGCAGACCCTCCCAGC